CCATATTGTAAGGGGCCATGAAACGATTTTTGGGCTGGGATAAATCAATTTAGATTGGGATTTTACTAATAGCACATCGGTTCAGTGGGCCAAAAGAAAAAAAAGGTAGAAGGTCAAAAGCCTAACTTTCGGTACGAAAATTTGAAAACACAGCGGACTATTTCGTACCTCCTTCCCTTCGTAAGCTTTTTGGCTTTTCACTGTGATACATCCGCGGTCCCCAAAGCGCGTCACCGGGTCCAAACACACGTCACCGGACCTCACTAATTCCTCTCGCCCCTAAGCTGACATTGCGCTGGAAGCCACGCGCTTGCCAGACCAATCAGCCGCCTCCCTTTCATCACCTGAAATCATTCTCTGCGCGTGGTTATGCTCGAGAGAGCGTGATCACGTGGCAGAAGTGTGGCTGGCGGCTGGCCCAACGAGCACGTAACTTCCACAGCACTGTCAGCTTCGGGGTGAACGTGGTAGGAAAGCAACTTTTGTCTGAATTTTGTGCGACGGGCTAATCTTCTGGGGGAGAATGGCTGTGTACGGGTACACAAACGAGAGTGCGAGCAAGAGGGGACTCCCCCATTTCCATCTTCTTGAACTGTTTGGTAGAATGCGCGATTTATGAGTTGAGGAGAATAGCTATAACAGAAAAAGTTAGAAAATCGTTTCATGACTCCTTTAATGTGAGCTCGTTCTGCGCATGCGCTCTAAACATCGCTCTCAAATATGGCGTCCAGAGAATACCTCCTATAGAGACGCCGACCGCGGTCGGCACACAGTCCTACACCCTATACTTCGTTTCAGCTTCGGTCCGAGTGCGGCCGATGTTATGAGCCGAAGGGCCAATCAAAGAGCGAAGGAGGCACGTCATGGCGTGCTCTCTGCAGTTGATAGGACCAGCCGGTATTTGCCGTCTCTCAGTGCGCTCCTCCGCCGGCTAGTCCTATCAAGCGCAGAGAGCACGCCATGACGCTGCGCTTTTTGCGATATTTGATTGGCCCTTCGGCTCACAACATCGGCCGCGCTCGGACCGAAGCTGAAACGAAGTATGGTATCATTATTGAACGGCAGCAGGTCACGTGAGACGTGTGTCGTCACTATCATCGTCACTGTTTCGAATCGCCGCCATGAGCCACCATATTGTGGCCTGCCAGCTTCTGCTGCAACGCTCCGGGTCGCTTCTCAGCCACTTAACGCGTGCGACTCCTATTTCAGGAAATCGCATCCTAACGTTCAAAGTTTCGCGGCTCCAACATGCCTGCTTGCTGTGCCTTCAAGGGCAGAAGCAAGTCAGAGAACGGCAAAAGCACGACCAACTCTATAAAAAAAGTAAAATAGAGTTGGTCGTGGGCAAAACACTCCTCCGCTTCCCGTTAGGTAACAACGCTACTGCAAAGGGAAGAGTGCTTGGTTTCCCATTATAAAACGAAAGATTCCAAGCCCAATGCGGGAAGCAAGCTTTGAGAGGTGAGCGTATTTCACCGCGTAACGCTCGTCGCCTCGCAGCCAAACAGGCTGCTTCGACTGAGCTTGGTTTCGGCAGGAACGATGCTTTGTTGATTAGGGGCAGTGCAACGATTTTCAGACTTTGGCCAATTAACTGCGGAAATTAATCTGCGTCACATATGGAACGAAAAACCGAAAGCCGCATTTTCTTGCGATCGCTAGTTCTTATTTAAAAAAAAAAAAAAAAAAAAAAAAAGAAAGAAAGAAACAAATCGAAGGTCGAAGTGCCTCTCAACTCTCCACGCCGACTTTCGAGTGACGTCTCTGGGGGTTCACGTGGTTTCCCCTTGGGCCCTCTCTTCAGAGACCCCAGCCGCTTTCTCCGCGATTGTCGACTTTCAAAGGATTAAGCGCAGACCGCATGGCGCGTTTTTCTGCACGCGAAAACGCGACGCGCTCGCTATGAACGCTCGCGCGGAAGCTGACGCGGGGGCACCCACATGCAGACAAAGCTACAAAGCCAAGCACCGCCGGCCGCGCGTTATCAGCGTTGCCAGGTAACAGAATACTCAACACGCGATGTAAATGTTGACGCAAATACTACAAAATCAGAATTAAATGAACAAATAAGTAAATAAAACGGGTCTGTGTGTCCCGGCCGCGCGTTATCAGCGTTGCCAGATAACAGAATTCTCAACACGCGATGTAAATGTTGACGCATATTCTACAAAATCAGAATTAAATGAACAAATAAATAAAACGGGTCTGTGTGTCAAAAGAAAAACATTTTCAATATTTATATGGAAAATAAAAATGCTTTAGAACACTCCGAAATGTGCTGAATACGAAACAGCGTACTGTGCAGGATCACATGATAGTTCGACTGACCCTCATTGGGCGAGAGCTGCTTCGACGCCTCGGCGCGCGCGTCTTGTTCTGGGTCGGCTAGAAAAGAACGCTCCCGCGAAAACGCGCCCCCGCGCGCAGGAAATGACGTCAGTTTGACGCCGACGCGCCTGAATCGCGAGCAAAAACGCGCCATGCGGTCTGCGCTCTCGTCGAAGGTCGCGGCGAGCGATGGACACAAAGGACGGTTCGCCACAGGGCTGACGGCCAGTGTAGCAGCGGAGGGGGACAGGGCTTGTTGACTTCCGCGTATCCCCCAGAGACGCCGTCATTTTAGTTCCCGCAGCCGCCACCGGCGGCTGCACATCGGCAAATAATTCGTTTTTTGCCTAGCGATTACGCAGCAGAATAGCCGTTTTTTGGGGAAAGGTGACGCGTTTTTGGTCACTTGGGCTTGCATGAACAATATAAAAAATGCAAACTGGCAATTCTTTCAGCATTAAAACCGTTGCACTGCCCTTTTAAATCGCTGTTTCCCTGCCCTGTAAAAAAAAAAAGAAAAAAAAAAAAGAATAATGAAGCATTGATAGCACGTCTTAAATGTCACTTGATGCCCCGAGTGGAAGTGATGAATCTTGCTGGTGCTTCCGGTTTGGAGAGTCATTGCTTTCATGTCAAGCTATTCTCGTAACTAACCTTCACTTCCATTTGTCTGCGCTAACCATTTGCAGATATTGCGTCGACTGGCAACTGCCTTGAGAATCGTCATGGGGAAATCGTTGCTAGACTTTGCTGCAAGCTTCATCTGGCCAGCAAAGCAACTGTCAAGCTATCAAAAGAGCTTGAGACTGTTTTATTCCATCCTGCTGCTTTCCAGTCATGAACATATTGTATGCAGTTGTAAATGAATCGATGAACTGCTCCTGCGTTTATACGACGGTTTTTGACTGCTCAAAAACCGTTACAAAATGCCAGTGCCATAATGTGATGACAGAAATAGGCGGCTAAGCTCTAAGCGATAAAGTTCGACCCTGCAACGGGAAAACGGCACAGACTGTCCCCGACGAGTGGATTGCTGGACTGTCCGGATATTTACACAGTGAGGGGTGACTCATCTCAAAATGAGATATTTGACCAGTGCGGTATGACTTTTAACCTGGGGTCTTTAACGTGAACCACGGAGTAATGATTATACGAGTGCAGCTAGACTGCAATGTAAATGATGTCGTAAATGATGCTATTCACAGCGCCACACACTTACCTGAAAGACATGTCAACAGCGCCAACGGCTCACGCGTACAGTTATCGTACAAGCGCAGTGCACTATGCAAGGATTCAAAAATGGCGGCACGGACAGGCGCGTAGACAGGATTTGTTTTCCGGGGGTGCCCAAAATAATTTCTGTGACTGAAGGGGTTTTCTGCCAACCCTAATGTAAAATAATCATTGTGTATTCAGACATAGTTAGGACCAGTTCTCATCATTAAAGTGTTTCTGTAAAATGTATGATACCGTGTCAGATAACCCAGTATGCCTCATTGTAATTGCCTTTCCTACAAGTGCACGTGTTAACTGTAAACAAGTTTTTTTCTTTTTGTTTTTACGAGTTCCAAGTTTTTCCACCCGACATTAGATAAACCGTGTCTCAAATCATAACACAAAACAAGCGAAACCCCGATTATTTGACCCATACCTTTGGCACTTAGAGAACCAGCTTGTCAACTTCAGTGTTGATCCTTATCTGGCTGGGCCTCAAGTCGTAGCTGGCTCTATCTTCGTTCACGGCCCCTTGTTCGCAACGTCTTACTTTACATCGGGGAACATATCGTAGCCACGTGAAGACACCCTAGCGAAGACTGTCGCACCACTCACTTTGCAAGTTTGCTGGTTTGCAAGACGAGTCTATTTTTAAAACTGACACTGGGCTCACAAAAGGGATAGGAGAGACTTTGTAGAAGAAGGAGAGAAAGCATTAGCGACTCGAGTCGTCTCGAAGGTCGTGAAGGACCACGTTGGTGACCTTTAAACACACGTGCACACCCTCGCCCCAAAGGAAACACCGCGCGGCGCCATTTGGAAACAAGGCCCATGGGAGACCATATTACAAATACAGAGCTTCTTTTGGGGGAGGTGTTATTTGGTAACATTGTTCTTGTATCGGTTGTGCCATCTCATAGACGCTGTACTCCCCCGGGCGCATCCCCTCGGCACCTTTTAGTTGGGGGTGGAGGTACCTACTGAATTTTTTTTCGGGAGGTAAGGGGAGGGCGGCCCCCCCCCCCCCCCCCCCTCCCCTCCCTCGCTACGTGGCTAGGCACGGACATGGATGAATGTGAACGCAACGGCATGGAGCTTGTGAAACCTATTCAGTGACTAGTTTTTAGCGTCGCCTTGTCTCAATCTCATCTTTCCCGTTTTCTCACCGTGAGCGTCGTAACTGCACTCCTCACCATTCCAACAAAATCCGCCGCCCCCTACAGCGTCTCTCGTTGGCATTAGTAGATCCACCGACTATAAATCTGGACATCAAATTCTCGAAGCTTGGATGCACAATCAAATAACACGTTGTTAGGCCAGAAAGTTAAAAGCAAACCACTAACGACACCGGCGTGGCGTTGTACGCGTATATGCACTATTTACCCATCCTGAATTCAGGCTACTCTTTCAGAAAGTTTCACCTATACAAAATTATCTTGATACAATGCTGCGAAATGTTATCCAGAAACAGCTTCGTTACTGCGAGCACGCTGCAACAGCGTGCTGGTCGTCTGCTGCGCACGTGGCACAATGAACACGCGAACCCCGTGGTAGTAAGTACTGACAATGCCCTTATAAGCAGTACGGGGAACCCCCGCCTTGAAATCGTCCATGATACCCAAATAATTGGCGATCACTTTGAAGTGTTGCTCGTTGGTGTACGTGATCCTTACGGGACCCTGGGTCACGCGACTGTCCAGGAGATCTTCTAGGTCGCGCAGACTACTTCCGCGTACAGCAGCGTCAAAAGCGGGATCATACCGGTGTTGCAACAGATACGTGAGATCTATGCTACCGAACTTTACAAAGACGCTGCTGAGATGCACATCCTTGAGGTACTTGTCAAAGAACTGTCCTCGGCTTACTCCTTTTCTGCCAAAGGTGCGCGAGCGCGAGATCTCGGGTCGGACGCAAGCACGTCCCTTGCGTTGCTCGGGCTGGCGGATCCAGTCATCCCAAAAGGCCTTGGGCCAGTGGGGCTCCAGTTCATGCCAGACCTCTCGCGTGAGAAGCCAGCCCAGTCCTGAGAAGAAATCGGTTCGATGAAGCATGTCAGGTGACGAGGACACATGTTGTAGCTTTCCGTTGTCGTTATACGCGGACACGCAAAATAAACTTGGGTCACGGCGAAGAATCGGCATCAAGGCCCCAAAATACTCGAAAAAATCCGGAGCGATGTCCAGGTCATCCTCGAGAACGATGGCGGCGCTATAGTTGAAGTGGTTAAAAACCATGTTCAGTGCCCACCTGTAATGTCGCGCTATGCGGTGATAACCTTCGATGTTAAAGATGGCCGAAACACCCTTCGTGAGCTCCGTCTGATCGGGCTGGTGTATAAGCTGGAAGCCATGCCGCTCCTGGTACTCACGCAAAAGATGAGCCGTCTTCTCGTGGAAGCCGTCCTGGCTGAGCACGATAGGGAACCAGATTCCGGGCGGCCGGTACCGGAGTAGCTGCTTCAGGGTGGTTTCTACCGACAAGCGATTGTAAGCGAGCACGAGGACAGCGATGACTTCACGACGTGTTTTACGAGCTTCGTCAACGGACTTCCAGCGCTTCAGCAGATCTAACACTTCTTCGTTAGAGTACAACTGCGAACGCACATCCCGTTCCAGGATCTCTGCTTGGGCGTGGATGGCTTTCTGTAGCCGACTCTGGCTGATCTGTAGGAAGATGAGACTAGTCGCAGCTGTCCAGATGAGTACCCCAAGCACTAGCAGCTTTTTCATTCGAGATCTTGACATTTTTGTTGCCACATTAAGAAGCGAACACCTTAGAAGTCGTTAGACACTGTTTCTCTGTTACGGGCTTAGAGCCCATGCTCACCGCGGAGCCACATTCTTGAACGTCTGTCTTCGGCGAAGCGAACGCAATTGGCTTGCGCACGGCTTTGTGCGAGAGAGCTGGGGGCGAGGCACAGGTGTTTGGGGCGGACAACGTGCGCGTTTCTGGTTTGTCGGCGGGCCTCAGTTGGATCGAAGGAACAAGGGTGAATGCTGCTCGGCAAAGGGATGTCCAGGGACGTCGCGTGAACTACCGGAAAAGCTTCGAACAAGCGCTCGTGCAGCTTCTGGATTTGTGATGTGGACCATGTTTGCAACTTCGTTTTTGCACTTTTGAATTTCCCTTGGGGTTGGTGACCAGTGATTACCAGGCTATTTTCTTCGCACGTGCTTGGAAACAGCACTAACGAACTGCTTAAAAGCATGAAAAGTATATAATAGGTAAGGGCAACAGAAATGCAGTTGTAATGAAAAATAGAGCACTTTGGAATTACAACAGGTATGAGGTGGTGAGAGAGATTTGGAAAGGGGTCATGGTGCCTGGCTTGACTTTTGGAAACACAGTGCTATGCATGAAAACCGAAGTGCATGCAAGACTAGAAATAAAACAGCGCGGAGTAGGTAGGCTGGCTTTGGGGGCACATTGCAAAACGCCAAACCAGGGAGTACAAGGAGACATGGGAATGGGATGGGCGTCATTTGAGAGCAGGGAAGCGGTGAGCAAGATAGAATTTGAGGATCGGTTGAGGCAAATGGATGGGGAGCAATGGGCACGAAAGGTTTTCAGCTATTTATACATGAGGAGTATAGACACAGAGTGGAGACAGTGCACTAGGAAATTAAGAGGAAAGTTTTAGGCTATAGTGGAGTTACGGAAGAGCAGGTCTCAGTTAAGAACAATGTTAAGGCCACAGAAAGAGATCGGTGGCTAGAGGGAGTGCAGACAAAGACGGCTCTGGAAAGCTATAGATTAAACAAAACAGTTATTGCCAAGGAAAGCATTTATGACAATTCTAGGGGAAGTTCATTGTTGTTTGAGGCGAGGACGGGTGTTCTGCGAACCAGAACATACAGAGCGAAGTACCAGGAATGGATACAGTGTGCACTGCTTGTGGAGAGGAGGACGAGACGGCTGAGCACTTGATACTCTACTGTAAAGGGCTTCACCCTATGCCTACCGAAGACAACATAGATTTAATAAAGTCATTGGGTTTTAGAGAAAGCGAAGGAAGAGTGGATTTCAAGACAGTAGAGATTACCAAGCATAGATTAAGTGAATTATGGCAGAAAGCGAGAGAAAACTAGGTATTTTCTTATTACCTCATGGCAAAGGGGTTTTATAGCCTCACTTTCTTTTCAGTGCGGAGTGAATATAGATTTCACATTGAAATATTCTAAGCTTAAATGGTAAAACAATATGGCTAGGTGGCGTAAGCTACCGCCCGATCCAAAGGGCTCAGCCGGATTCATCCATCCATCCATCCATCCTCTCATCCGTTTTCTGCCGCTCTACCTTTTCAATTTCGACGGCCGCTTCTCGTGGCGATCTTCCCGGCTTCAGTAAGAGGATGCTATGGCTCTGGACGTTCTAGAGGAATCGGTGGCCGAGTGGGCTAGCGCACACTAGCTCGAAAGCACGTGGCGCGAAAGCTCGCGCAGCAGAACCCAGGGATCCTGTGTTTAATCCCCACTCCGCCCCTTTCGATCTGGATGAGCATTGTACCGGCATGCGGTCGTGTACCACTACTGCGTGGTGCACGTTAAAGACCCCAGGCTAGAGTTTGTACCGCACTGGCTAAATTGCTCATCTACAGCTGAGACACTAGACGCCCACTGGGACAGAGTAACCTATCGCTGTATAAACATACACACACCAATTTTTAGACATTCTAAGCTTTGTGTCCATATCAAATTCATTCTACCTTTGACGAATGCGTATTCGACGAATGTGATAACGTATTTGACGACGGGCGAACAGCGTGAGCGAACAGGCTAGAACTAGAGCCACTGAATAAGCTGCGCTTAGAGTACCGGCACTCCGCCCCCCGACATTGTTGTGGGCGCCGCCATTTTGGGGCTTGTGCAGAGCAGACGCAACTGCCGATCGTCATGATTCAAAAGTGCAACTTCCTCAGCATTAGATTCGGTGTTAGGAAGCTGATGTAATATTGCTTTCCTCTATCGCGAACTGTTTAAACATTTGTGGAGGACGGTAAAGCGTTTCCTGTGATTTCAGATAAAGCTTCAGATAACTGGCAACCATGATTTTAAGCCACAATATGGCCAAGTGTCGTTACTCTGAAGCGTAGCTTATATAGTGGCACTAGCTAGAACTATACTCTGTTTCATACTTAGCGTACAACGCTGTCAAAACTACTGGCGCGAGCGCGTGGCTTCAGCTCTGGTTTTGTTCGCGCGAGAACGCGTGCAAATGATCAAAGAGATCAAGCCCCATGCTCGCGCCAGTAGCTTTGACAGCGTTGCACCCTAAGTATGAAACAGAGTATAGAACTTGCAAACCGGCTCAGCGAGATAACCGGCCAAGCCGGACACATCGGCTGACGCCACGTGATGCGGAAAGGAGGCGTCGGTGAGGCCTGTGTCAGCATTTGTCCACGCGCGCCAACACAGCGTTTAGGAAAACTAAAACTGAAAATAAAAAAAAAAAAAACTTCCACTGAAAATAAAAATAAAAACGAATTTGCTCGCCGTCTCAGCGTCCCATGAAACATTCCTTTAACGTTTATTATTTGTATTTGCTGCTGCTTTTTTCATAGATTCCGTGAGCGTGTTTCACTTTACGTGATAGCGAAGCCGAATCTATACAAGCAAAAGCATGTTCCCCTGAACGATGCTGACACTGCACGAGCGCGCGTGCTTCGCAAGGACACTGAAAGCTCGGAGCTCGCTCTTGTAGCCCTGCTACGCTGACACTTATAATTGAACGAAGTATAGACAATTGCAAGCATGGCTCCCCGACTGGTATCCCATGCGCGCAAGCACGTGCAGCTTCTACATGAACATAGCTTTGGCAAGCTTGCAATTGCACGGGCTTGTCCTCACGAGCAGAAGCATGGCGGCGGGCAGCGGCCTTGCATGCAAAACTGCGGTGGAGGAGCGTAATAACGCATGATCGAAACGCGACCTACAAATATAATATTTGGCTCGCCAGGAGCTCTGCTCAAAACTTGAGAGCTCGGACTTATACTCCGTGAGACGCTGTCATTGACACGCGCGCTCACGGGTGATGAATCCTCCGACTCTCTGGTATCGACTTCACTCTTTTTACGAGTTCCAGTGCTTATACGAGCTTTACGATCCCCCCATATATGCCTGTGAATACTGTTCAGAACTTGTGCGGGAAGTAAAAATAATCGCTCGACTTTCTGGGCTTTCGAACGAGCGAGTCACAACGACACGCGCCATTCAACGAACGACATGAAAAAAGTGCACACTGGACGGGACAAAGTATGGAAACACAAAGGACAGGCGCTAACTTGCAGCTAATGTTTATTGAAAAATCCCAATGATCAATCACCAGTTAGCTCAGCAATCTACTGTAATACAATTCGACGATCCTTACATATTTATTCATACTATGACGTTAATTCACACTGCATCTACACGAAACAACAGAAAATGGGAGCGGATAATCTCGCGCGCTCTCGTCCCGGTCGTCCGAAGAAAACAGCTGTGTGGTATACACAACACGCATGGTTCGTAAATTTCCAAGCGCAAAACATCTGCGTTTCTGAAAATCCAGGTAGTAACAAAGGCCGAGATGCCTGAAAAGGGGTGGAAACAAAGTGACGTATGCTTTTCCGGACTATGCAGTAAGTTCCTTCGTGCGCAGATGCCTGGCTTAGGACAGATATATCCGGTCATTTTGCGCCAAAACGCATCCCTTGGTGTGTTACGTCGCCGGGTTCTCGGGCAGCGCTTTTCTCTTTCTTTTATGCACCATCTGGCGGTCCTTGCTGATACAAAGTACCGTCGGAACTGTTTGAGAGATGGGGAGGGGGGTTCTTCTCTCTCGAATTGTTTACTACAAGTAGTACAAACCTCCGAAATGTCATGGGGGGGATATCTCTCCCCTTCCCCTCCCCCTCTCCTTACACGCCTTTTGTTGCAACGCCTATGCCTCTGCAAGATGTACTGAACATCGGTCATCCTCTCATATGCATCCTCAAGGTACCGCCACCTGTACCGATAACTACCATGGCACTTATGTGCACGCACACTGTCGAATACTTCGATTTAATTGATTTAATTGCTGCTTCCATTATTTTAGACACGTAACTCGTAAGCAATTTGGACACCACAATAACGAGTCCACTTGTGCTAATACTGACATAAATATTTCCCGATATCATCGTCGATTTCGACACTTTGTTCATGATTTCATTTAGCGTTAGACGTAATAGTCCAGTGTTGACCGTACAACGGGTATGCCAAAGCAAGGGGGTCCCGTAACAACCCTCTTTAACTAAATAGAACAAAATAAACAGAGCCAACTGGAATCCAAATTATTCCACTTTCTAAGAACTTTATGTAGAGCGATGGGAATGTCCGCATTTAATGACCGTGTAAATGGCATGTTCAGAGTTCTCTCACAAAATGCACTGTTGCGTTCAAGTTCGCCCTGAGTCCCATCAGACAAGGATGTGATTGTATATGCGATAATTGCCCCTCCATATGCTACGAGAAAAAACGGATGCGTGCGATTTATTATTGTTCCTGAATTTCTATAGGCTGATTCAGATATTGACGTCGGCTGCTTTCATGGCGTCCGACACAACACCAGAACGGCCAAGATTCATGACTGCTTCACGAAGCTATAGATATTGCATTGCGCAAAGGGCCTCTGACACGCCGAAAAAATTCAAAGTACCCGCCAGTGCCCTGTGACGTAATAGTGTACCGCAATGTGTCGGGGCGTTCAGAAAAGAGGCATCGACCTG